TCATCATCATCATCATCATCATATCATCATCATCATCATCATCATCATCATCATCATCATCATCATCATCATCAATCATCATCATCATCATCATCATCATCATCATCATCATCATCATCATCATCATCATCATCATCATCATCATCATCATCATCATCATCATCATCATCATCATCATCATCATCATCATCATCATCATCATCATCATCATCATCATCATCATCATCATCATCATCATCATCATCATCATCATCATCATCATCATCATCATCATCATCATCATCATCATCCATCATCATCATCATCATCATCATCATCATCATCATCATCATCAATCATCATCATCATCATCATCATCATCATCATCATCATCATCATCATCATCATCATCATCATCATCATTCATCATCATCATCATCATTCATCATCATCATCATCATCATATCATCATCATCATCATCATCATCATCATCATTCATCATCATCATCTATCATCATCATCAAATCATCATCATCATCATCATCATTCATCATCATCATCATCATCATCATCATCATCATCATCATCATCATCATCATCATCATCATCATATCATCATCATCATCATCATCATCATCATCATCATCATCATCATAACAACACATGTAATTATATATGTCATGATTTTTTTTTTAATACATTAGTAAAATGGAAAAATGTTGAGCTCATAAAAATGAGAAGTATAAATTTTATGATGTTTTTGAATGGATCATAAAAATGTTGAGCTCAGAATCTCACTCATAGCTTAGAATTGAATCGGTGAGTCATTCATAGTCATTCATAGCAATTCATAGCCATACTCTTACTTTTACTTAGGTGATTTAAGCTTCATCGGACTAATCTTAAGCCTACAGGACTCCGACCCTAGGGTCACTGCAGAGAAAAATCACGAGTCGCACAATTAACCCGTTGATCAGATCATAGTCTTCATGTGCACACAAGAGATCCAATCCAGAACGACCTTCCATCATCCTTTGACCTTTTCCATCATCCTTGTAAACCCATTTTTATATTGCTCACAAGAGACGAAATTCTTTCGTCCCTAAGATCCATGCAAGTTGCAGCACAATACGACAAACAAATCTGGAGTATTCCGGGATATTGAACCACATGAAAATAGGCGTATTAAGCACTATCTACTAATCTGTCCACAAGAAGCTAATCCTAACATAACGAGAGATAATTAACTACATACAATCAAATAAGCAATAAATAAAATGAAGGTAAACAATTTGAGAAATACAAGAGAGTAAAGAGTATAATTTTTGGAGGTCAAAGTGTTTAATTACATAGTGTGAAACTAAAGTTAAATATTTAATTAGGTTTTAAACAAGTGTGAAAGATTGCATATGAGGAATATTTAATTGAGTTTTAAACAAATTTGAAAGATTGCATAGGGGAGGAATTTTATTCCCATAATTTTAACCAAAATAAAGGTAAGTTAAGTATACTCATTTCCATGAGATACTTACATTGATAATACAAGAACAAACAATCAAGATAAAATCCTTTAACCAAGAGGCCAGATTAATAGTAAAATATTTTTCTAGCTTTTTGTTTGAGCCAATTTATGATGAAAAGGAATAACCATATAATATATTTATGGTAAAATAAATGTTTTAAAAACAAGTTCTAATCGGTTGATTCTTATTGTTTTCCATTAGTTAATTAAATTATATTAAAAAAAAATTATTAATCATTTTCACATAGGGAAATTCTTAACCTTTTAGGAATTGCTATATATAACCATCATATTGTTGTCCAAGTATTCCACTACTTGGCAATTAAAAAGAGAAGAAACTACATCAATTCAATAAGGAAAAATTGTATTTTTTGTTATTCAATTAACCCATAATAAAGTCATTAAAAATCAAATTCAGCACTTTATTAAAAATCCGTCACTTTATTAGACATATTATTGGTGATAAAAATAGTCTCTAAAGGACTAAAATCGCCACTACACTCATAACTTAGTGGCCAAAGATGGTCATACATATAACTGAGTGACTAAGCATATACTACATGTATAATTGGAAAACAAAAGTGCAAATTTTTCATTCATAATAATGTAAGAAGAGTGAGACTAGAGACATTGTATATTGATTGCCTTTAAATGAAAAAATGCAAATGGAAGAAGATAGAGTAGTTTGGGTGTCACACATGCAAATCCTTAAGACCCTAGCTACATTCCATATAATACATTCAAATAAGATTACAAATTCAATTGTTACTTGGCAATAACGTGATTTTCCTCAATTCCTTCAAATTCAATTTCACCACTCAATCGTACAAGAGTTGTAACAATTATTGTCCTCGAATTCACAAAGTAAATTTCTTTAAAATTTTCTTATTTAATTCACACAATAAGGATTATTAAAGTCTATCAATAAGAATGCTTAAATAACCATTGCCACTCATGAAAAAAAAAAAAAACAAAGTGGTTCCATGGTGTAGTGGTTAGCACTTTGGACTTTGAATCCAGTGACCTGAGTTCAACTCCCAGTGGGACCTTACCAACCACATTTTTGTAGTATAAATTTTCTCATGCAATCGTAAGTTGAGTGTGAGAGCTACACCTAATGTGTGCAAGGAGGCTAAGAACTTTTTTCTTTTTCTTTCCTTCCCTTGACAGGGCGTTTGGTTGGAGGGATTTTAAATTCCCTTCCCACTTAATTCCCACCTAATTCCAAAGGTCATTAAATTTCGTAGTTTGGTTGGAGGGAATTGCAATTCCATGGAATTGCAATTCCCCCATTTTCATGGAATTAAAATCCCATGTCCCCCCCCCCCCCCCCCCCCCCCTGGTATTTTAATTCCTGGGAAAAAAAAGATAATGATGAGTCAAAATTACCCCTTCCTTTTTTAACCTAAAATTAATGTCTAACAACAATAATGGATATTTTTGACTTTATACTACTTATTCCCTTTCAATTCCCATGTATACCAAACATTGGAATTGAAATTCCTAGTAATTCTATTCCTGTCAACCAAACACTGGAATTTAAATTCCCACTTTATTCCCAGTAATTCAACTCCCATGGAATTACAATTCCTTTCCCACATAATTCCCCCCTCCAGCCAAACGCCCTGTCAATGTCTTACACCTAATGTGTGCAAGGAGGCTAAGAACTTTTTTCTTTTTCTTTCCTTCCCTTCAATGTCTTTCTTTCCTTATTTGAGTTTTTATTTATTTATTTTTCCTTCAAGACTCTTCAATTTACAACATTAGAGATGTCTCGATATTATGATGTGGTTGAATGGAAGGGATTCATCTATCTTTAATCAAAAGTCAATGGTTCAATCCATCTAATGTACCCAAGATTGATAGTGGTTGAAGTTCAGAGAAGTCGCTTTTTCATTGTCATATTTGTCACCCAAGATGAGATTCACATATGCATGACCAGTTGTATCGTTTCACGCTTGGGTCGCTTTTTCATTGTCATCGCTTTTTCATTATCATATTTGTCACCCAAGATGAGATTCACATACGCATGACCAGTTGTATCGTTTCATGCTTTTTCATTGTCATGTTTGTCGCCCAAGATGAGATTCACATACGCATGATCAGTTTTATCGTTCCACGCTTTATGAAAAAAGAACTCGCCAAGTAAACGAGAGGAAGTAACTCGTCAAAACAACGAGAGGAAAAACATAAAAATGACAAATAAAATTAAACAAATAAAACAAAGTAAATGGAAATAACCGTGCGAAAGTAGAGAATGAAAGAAAAAACGATGAAGATATAAAAGACAAGAAAGCGAACACTATCTGCGGTGGGAATGACGGCAGGAGAAGACGATTGGACGTTGCCTCCGATCTGCTTGCTTCACGGAGGCGACGACCGTGTAAGAATTTGAGTAGTCGAACGAGAGAGAATTAGGGTTTACTAAGAATTCTCTACTTAAATGATTGTTTCTATTTTTATGGAATATATTGTATGACACTACAAAAAAAAAATTTAATACTTCGTTCGTCTCATTTTATGTGCTTTGTTCGGTAAATGAGACTTGATTGAAATTATTTACAATTTAATTTTTTTTATAATATTAAGTTTATTGTTAGTGTATACTCCGTAATATAATATATATAAAAACTACATGAAAAGTACTATTTAACACAGAAAAAATTAAAATAATTAAAAAATATTAAATTCTACAATACGGGAAATTCATAAAGGAAAAAATTATTTTCCTTCAAAAATTTCCTATATGCACAAATTCTACAATATTACACGTGATGTCATATATTTTAGTCGTAGAACTAGAAATTCTACTGAATATATTAGTGGATACTTCCATTTTCAAGAATAAAAAATAACTAAAAAAGTACTATAGAAAACAAAAAATAAAAATAAAGAATTAAATAATGGTCATGCTGACCAAGGGGTTAGTAGAGAGTTCAGAGGAACATTTACCAAACAAGTCCAAATCAGGAAATGGTAAAAGAAAATGCAACGAAAAGAAAAAAAAAATTATGTGAGATTATTTTTTGGATCTTTATTCGTGACACGAGTCAGATTAATATAAAAATATAATATTTATATTAAAAAATTATTTAAAAATATAATACTGATCAAGAATAAAATATTTATTTCTTTGAAAAATATAATACTTCTAAATCAAAAGGTATGATAAAGATTCCTCAGTGATAAAAATTAAAGCATATGCTCAATCTAAGCTAAGTTGATAGTTGGATTACACGCCCCTTCAGGTATGTGATGGGTTCCAAAGAATGACTCTGATATCAAATTGAAACATATGTTCTATCTCAACTAAAAGTCTAAGCTGATAATTGAATTATACATTAATAACTATATGCTCAACAGATTCCTGAGTGATAAAAAATGGTTTCATTTTCATGACATAAACCCTAAGAAACCGCATGGTCCGCATGAATATATATTTAAAATATTTTCATGGCATAAAGAAAGTCAGAAAGAGAACTGAAATTATGGATAGATGAAAGAGAAGAAAGTAAGAGAGAGAGAGAGACTATACATACACAAATATGATGTATTTATATATATTTAATACATCTGTATGACTGTATGCACATGAAACAGCATGTTTTGCCGTATATTTTAATGTTAGCTGAGAAGTGAAAAAAAAATGGAAGCAAAAGTGTTGCCGGGAAAGAAGGGAGAGAGAGATAGAGATAGAGAGAGAGAGAGAGAGTTAGCGTTTGTTCTTCATTGCTGTAGAAGCTGCTCAGCAAGGAGATGATGGCTCCGCATATGGAGATGCGAGCCAGAACCTTCTCCGTACTCTTCCTTTTCCTGCTATACATTCTCATTCTCTTCGTTATTTAATTCACTCTTTAATTTCTACTCCGTATTTATCTTTCTTTTCTTCTCAATCGACGCCTATTGGAGAATCAAGCAAGCTAAGTTCTCTCTCCATGTAGCTGAAATTAACTGTTTTGATCATACCCAGTACCTTCTTTTCTCGGTTCTGAACTTTGTTGGGTGCCTTTTGGTGGGTTTTACTGTTTGATTAAGGGGATTATTGAAGAATCTGATCTGGGTTTGATTCAGTGAAAGCTCCTTAGGGTGGCAAAGTTTTGGATCTCTTGTTGATTGTGATGAAAGATTCGATTTTGGGATCTGAGCTTGATGATTCTGGGATCGGTTGAGTTGGGTTTATTGGGTTGATTCTACTATTTGAGTCTGATATTCATACTGTGTAATTGTTGTTGCTGTTTGTGCTATAGTTGTCATGGAATAGGGTGTATATACAATCAGATTAGTCTGAACCTAATGGTTCCAATAGCCTTTCATATTTAGTGAATTTCCAGGGGGAATTTCATTAGGTTTTGTTTTTTGTCTTGCTCTTTTTGAACCCCAATTTTCATCAGAAAATCAACACATAAATAACTTTGAAGAGACCCACTATTTTTATTGTGGGTTTGAGTTTCCATCATTACTTGGATTGGGTTCCCCTTTTTTGATACCCACTAATTTGATAAGTCTGTGGGAATTGTACTCTTAAGCAATCAAAAGTGTGTTGCTTTTCCCTCTGAGGCAGATGTGGTGATTATACTTGGTGGGATACCACTGGTCTATGGGAATACCTGATAGTTCATTACCCGATTTGATTGGGAAGGTTAAATCTTGGATTTCTTGGGGAATCATTTATCCAACTTATCTGTCTGGAGGACTTGGAATGGATTCGAACATAACCTGCTGTGAATGCAAGATGAAATTTACCAAATCTTGCCTGAAGTACCACTGCCAAATTTGCAATCGAGCTTTTTGTGGGGACTGCTTGCAGGGTAATCAATCCCTGGATGTTGTTGCATCAGGTGGTATGGAAAACACAAAGGAAGCTGATATTGGTATCATTTCTTGCAAATTTTGTTCTGACCTTAGCACTTGGCATAGAAGTGCAAGGAAGTATAGTGATGTAATCCATCCTTCTGACTCTCCCAGACAAAGCCCAGAACCTCCATCACCAAATTATAGTAGTGACAGGTTTGATGGCTATTCTCCCAATGCTGCAAAGAGTAGTTTTGCATCTTTTTCAAGCAATCCGTCCTCAGTATTTGTTCGTCGCTCACCGAGCAGGTATGAACTTTGGCACATATTTATTCAAAAACCTTATAGGCATGCAAACTTTGGTTCCTTTGGAGTAGCTAACTGTGTTATCCCTTGTTTCCAAGTACTTTGTAAATATGTCAAGGATACTGACGCCTTGTTTGGTAAATGGCTGTTAGCTGATTGTGTTAATTAGATGGTATAAAAGTTGATAATATTAGCTGATTGTAGAAAAGTGTTTGGTAAATTAGCTGTTAATTGATAGCTGTTTGGTATAATTTCTTTTATGAAAAAGCTAATTGAAAAAGTTGCTTGGAGTAGCTTTTTGAATTTTAGCCTTTCGGAGTTGCAAAAAGCTAATTAACCAAACATTTATATTGATATTTTAACTAAATCAAACAATTAATAGTGGTCAAATAAGCCAAAATTGGCCTATAGGCCAATTTTTTACCAAACCCCCTTGCAAAAAGTTTCCCAGTTTTGTTTATCTGATAATTAACCACATGTGTAGATTAGATTTAGGTAATAGCAAGAACAATAATCTGATTTCTTGGTTAGTGACTGATATTCATATAATTAAACTGTGTCTGACTAAATGTTTTCTTCCATGTCCTTAAAAATCGGCTCTAAAGAAGTCTATGTTTATGACTTATTAGGTGAAAGTTCTCTCTTTTTAGTGCTTCCTGAAGCTTTTGCAACTAATAAGTATTATTCTGATTTTTATAATCTAGGAGTGATGATGATGAAGGGGAGGACTCCACAAATGAATTTTTATGCCCATCAAGTGATTGCTGCCATGATACTTCTTCAGATATAGATTCAAGTAGTATTAGCGCTAGGCATGAACCTCACAGTTTTAAGTCAGTTGGATCAAGTCCTAATGACAGCCCCTCTAGGATTCATTTTACTTCCAATAGAGTTGGGCATTCTGTACAGCAAGAGCAAATGGAGACCCAGAGATCTCCCAATTATAGTTCCTTTGACCAAGAAACCTTGAATGTTTTAAGAAGGGTTGACAAAGGAACTGAGGATATTGAGACCACCAATGGCTTTGGCAATAATTTGTCTCTCTTTCAAAGTCAGTTTGAAAACAACGGTCTCATATGGTTCCCTCCTCCTCCCGAAGATGAATATGATGAAACAGAAAACAATTTCTTTACATATGATGACGAGGATGATGAAGTTGGAGAATCAGGTGCAGCGTTTTCTTCCAGTGGGAGTCTTGCTAACGCATTTTTGTTGAAGGAGAAACAGAACGGGGGTCACAAAGAGGCTATAAGAGATGTAGTTCAGGGCCATTTTAGGGCTCTTGTGTCACAGTTATTGGAAGCAGAAGGAGTAATGTCAGGGAAAGAAGGAAGTGCTGAGGAATGGCTCGATATAGTAACCACAATAGCTTGGCAAGCTGCAAGCTTTGTGAAACCAGATACTAGTAGAGGGGGAAGCATGGACCCTGTTAACTATGTGAAGGTTAAATGCGTAGCTTCAGGAAGGCCTTGTGACAGGTGAGATACTTGTCTTGTTCTGGATTATTTATATGTTTGCCATTATTTTTGATCAGACCACGAGGTGTCCTTAGCAGGCCCTAACTGTAGGAGGCACCTTTAAGCCCATACCATACTCAGACTAATCCCCGTTCACACCGGGCCGACCTAATTAAGGAGCAAAAGTGCTGGCCAGATTGGTTTTTCCATACGATAGTAGGTTCAAACTCCCGACCTCTCTTAAGGGACAAGAGTGCATGGCCACTCACGCCAATCAAGCTGGTTTATATGTTTTTCATTATTGTATTCAAATGCATTCATATTCATTAAGAGGATTTGAACGTTTTTTTCTTTGCAGTACATTTATCAGAGGGATTGTCTGTACAAAGAATATCAAACACAAGCGCATGACATCACACTATAAAAATGCTCGATTACTTCTCTTAGGAGGGGCACTTGAGTACCAAAGAGTTCCTAATCAACTGGCTTCTTTTAACACCTTACTGCAACAGGTTCTACTTGATTGCCTTGTTTTTGACTGAGATAAGATTAATTAGGATTTAGGGAGGAGAGTTTATGAATTTCATTGTGCTGATAGGAAAGAGATCACCTGAAGACAATTGTTTCAAAAATTGAGGCTCACCGTCCAAATGTGCTTCTTGTGGAGAAAAGTGTATCTTCATATGCTCAGGAGCATCTATTGGCAAAAGAGATATCCTTGGTGTTGAATGTTAAAAGGCCACTACTAGAGCGGATTGCTCGGTGCACTGGTGCTTCTATAACTCCATCCATTGATAACATAACAGCAGCAAGACTGGGCCACTGTGAACTCTTTTATTTAGAGAGAGTGTCTGAGGAGCATGAAGCCACCAACCAGTTAAACAAGAAACCATCCAGAACCTTGATGTTTTTTGATGGCTGTATCAGGCGTTTAGGCTGCACGGTATTGTTCCCTTCCTCTCAAATCTATATCCCTGATTTTAACTGCTGGTGAAACATGAATTGCTATGTATGTATGTATGTATGTATGTATGTATGCACGTGTTATTACAGTCTATGGTCTTGGACTTATTTTGGCATTTGATTACACGCACAATTGTTTTGAGATTGATTGAACATTTGAACCTATTATCAACTCCTACAAATTGCTTTAATGCAGTTTTCTCTCGCCTTCTTCCTCTCCCTCTTGTCAGTACTTGTGCCATGTGTTTACGTATTATCAAGATTATGTTTTTACCTAATTGATGCATCAAGAGAGATGAAATATTGAAGCACAGAGGGAAATTATGATTTTTATCTGACATTCTGTAGGTCCTGCTTAAGGGATGTTGTCGGGAAGAGCTAAAGAAAGTGAAGAGGGTTGTTCAATATGCAGTATTTGCTGCATATCATCTATCCCTGGAAACGTCTTTCCTCACTGATGAGGGTGCTAGTCTTCCTAAAATGGCAATTCCGCATTCAATTTCCACACTTAAAATTGCTGATAGAGAATCTGCTACGCTCTCTTTGGAAGTTGGAGTGCCTGAATCGTTGTCTCAACATCATCACTGTAGTGAAGATGGATCGAGCGATGTTCTCCCTACCACCACGTACAATGGGAATTTAGCATCATCTGTATCAGTTGATGATTTAACTTCTGGTGAATTTATCGAGAGCAGATGCCACGAACGGGACAGGTCACAGGATACTTCTTGTCAAGAGGATGGTGAACCTGGTGAAATTTCAGAACGCCCTACAGCTGAAAGAGTTAATGGAATTGAAGCTTCGACTGACTATTATTCAGCTGGTGACAGTCAGCAAAGCATATTAGTATCCTTTTCAAGTCGCTGTGTGGTAAATGATACTTTATGTGAGCGCCCTCGACTCCTACGCATACAGTTTTATGGCTTTTTCGATAAGCCTCTTGGTCGATATCTTCAGGATGATCTGTTTGGTCAGGTAAATTCTATTAAACCTTTTTTTTATTTAGTTTATATTAACTCTAGTTAACCTGGGGGGTGTGGTTGAGTGGAAGGGACTCATCTATCCTTAACCAAAGGTCAAGGGTATGGAGTAACCTTAAATCTCCAGGCCAGCTGTCCCACCCAATAGAGGTGCCTATAATTCAGCAAAGGGGATTAGTCACTGTGTTCGACGGTGGAAACCCTGGGCTACACCCAAAAAAAATAATATTAACTCTAGTTTCAATTATTTTTTAATTATTGTGCTTTAATTGCCAGGCATCTTGTCGATCATGCAAGGAGCCAACTGAGGCTCATGTCATTTGCTATATTCACCAGCACGGGAACCTTACAATTAACGTTAGGCGCATTCCCTCAGTGAAGCTTCCTGGAGAAAAGGACAAAAAGATATGGATGTGGCATCGGTGCCTCAGGTGTGCACAAGTAGAGGGGGTCCCACCGGCGACTCGCAGGGTACTTATGTCTGATGCTGCTTGGGGCTTATCGTTTGGAAAGTTTTTGGAACTTAGTTTTTCCAACCATGCCACTGCCAACCGTGTGGCAAGTTGTGGTCATTCTCTGCAAAGGGACTGCCTCCGATATTATGGGTGTGTGATCCATTGGTTATTACTGATAATTTCATTTTATTTTATATATGGGTTACCTTTAAGAATCCACTTTATTTTACAGTTAGGTATTATCAGCTAGAAGTGTTGTACAATCTATAATGAGTTAATACCCAAAATGATCCTCGACTATAGTGGTTTTTCTCAATTTCGTCCTAAACGACTTTGGTGCCTTAATGTAGTCCCAGACTTTTGTGGTTTTGCTCATTTAGTCATCCATTTGTTATTCTGTCAAATTGGTGTTAAATATAGGGACAATTCAATAATCTCAATATTGGTCTCTCTTTACTCTTAGCCTTGCGAAGTGCGAAATCCCTCTTTCTTTCACGAATTACTCCTAGACCTACGAATCAAATTTTATATTCGCAGGTTTGGGAGTAATTTGAGGGATTTCGCACTTCGCAGGTCTAGGAGTAAAGAGATGTCAAAATTGAAATTACTGAATTGTCCCTCTATTTAACACCAAATGGACGGAATAACAAACGGAGGACTAAAGCAAAAACACAAAAGTCTGGGACTACATTAGGTCACCAAAGTCATTTAGGACGAAATTGAAAAAAACCACTATAGTCGAGGACCATTTTGGGTATTAACTCAATCGATAATCTATAAACTTTGCCAAACATGTAAAGTGCAATATTTAATCTATCATATTAATAGGCTTGACAATCAGGCACAATGTAATAACCGAAATTATTTCTTCAGTTTGGTCTGATTCAGGATCAAATTTCCTTTGACAGATCAGGGAGTATGGTTGCAATCTTCCGCTATTCTCCTATTAATATTCTTTCAGTCCGTCTGCCTCCATCGATTCTTGAATTCAGTAGTAAAGCGGAGCAGGCTTGGACAAGGAGAGAAGCTGCTGAGGTGCTACATAGTCTCTGAAAATGCTTTTCCTGGAATGAAATTGTTTTTGTCCCTATATCGAATGTTGTAGATTTAATATCTTGTTTTCTTGCAGCTTTTGAGCAAAGCGAAGTCCTTCTACGGTGAAATAGCAAGTGCCTTTAACAGGATTGAGGAGAAAAGTTTGTCGATAGGATGTGAACTGTATGATACGAGTGAATTGCAAAACTACATGCTGGATTTAAGAGACCTCTTAATGAAAGAACAGGATGATTACAATGTGAGTTCTAACCTGCGAAAAGTCACTCTTAATGCAGTTTTTTGTGAACCAAACATCAAAACAAAAACATGCTCCTTTATCATTTCTCCATTTTTTTTTTTGTTTCTGTTGATTCATGTTTCTCTCCCTGATAGGACTTGCTTCAACCTACTGAAGAAGGCGTTTTGGATAAAGAGTGGGAAGCAATTGATATTCTTGAAATTAATCGCATGAGGCATTCCCTCATAGTTGCTTCGCATGTTTGGGATCGTCGGCTTTATTCAATGGACTCCCTCCTTAACAAGAGTTCTGGTTCACTAGAGCAGGCAACTTCTACTAACCTGGAAAGGTGGAGAAGTGATTTGAGTTTGAAGAATGGCATTATCGAGCCAGTTCATGAAGAGAATACACTCGAACTCCCAAAATTAGATGCTGACCATTCAGAAGATTCCATGCTGACCTCATGTGAAGATGAAAAATGTCAGGATTCAGAAATTCAGGTGGAGAATCCCGACAAGAATTCATCTTCAGAATTTGCCCCTTGTTCTGCAGCTGTTCTCTCTGATAAGATAGATTCTGCTTGGACTGGTATAGATCAATCTCAAAAAACGCAGTTGCGTGCTTCGCTGCAAGATGTACCCGAAACCGCTCCTTCCAGGCAACTAAGCCAAATCGAGCATTTTTCTGTAAGAAAGCTTAGGTCACCAGCAAGAGTTCATTCCTTCGACTCTGCTATGAGACTTCAAGAACGAATTGGGAAAGGACTGCCACCATCGTCGTTGTATTTGTCAACTCTAAGGTCTTTTCACGCTTCTGGTGACTACAGGAATATGATCCGAGACCCTGTTTCCACTGTTCAGAGGACTTATTCTCAGTTATTACCCGGTGAGGCTCAGAAGTTATATCCTTTACAGAGTTCATCAACCGCTTTTATCTCTCATGTATCTCTTCTGCCTGAAGGAGCCAGATTGATGGTTCCACAGAACGGGCAAAATGATGTCGTGATTGCTATATATGACAACGAGCCCACTAGCATAATATCCTATGCACTTAGTTCGAGGGAATATAAGGACTGGATCAATGATAAGCCTAGTGTTGTGTCTGAAGGAGGGTGGAGCTTTGGCGATGCTCACAAGGAAAATTCGTTAGTTTCAAAGTTTTCAACTTGGCAGCCTTTCGGCTCTCTGGATTTGGATTATATCCACCAAGTAAGCTATGGTTCAGAAGATTCATCTAGTACAATTAGTTCCTTCTTTTCGGATCCCAAAAGTTCCCCTCATCTTAGGATATCTTTTGGGGATGAATCTTCGAACGCTGGGGGGAAAGTGAAGTTTTCCGTGACATGCTACTTTGCTAAACAATTCGATACTCTTCGGAAGAAATGCTGTCCTAATGAACTGGACTTCATACGTTCTTTAAGCCGATGTAGGAGATGGAGTGCTCAGGGAGGGAAGAGCAATGTTTATTTCGCTAAGTCGTTTGACGAAAGGTTCATAATAAAACAGATTCAGAAGACTGAATTAGATTCTTTCGAAGAATTTGGTCCTGAGTACTTCAAATATTTGACGGATTCTCTCATCTCGGGAAGTCCAACTTGCCTCGCAAAAGTTCTTGGTATATTTCAGGTTCGACTCTTTCTCTTTCTCTTTCTCTTTCTTGATTATGTATGGTTCAGTAGGTTGATGAAAGTATTTATATGCACGATTTTACTGTGGATTTGTTTCGAAGAAGAAATGTAATTCCAATTTTTATTATGAATTTTAGGTTACAGTCAAGTACCTGAAAGGAGGTAAGGATACGAAAATGGATTTGATTGTGATGGAGAACCTGTTTTACGGGAGAACTATTTCGAGGGTTTATGATCTCAAGGGTTCTGTACGATCCCGTTACAATTCAGATACAAAAGCGAACAAAGTCCTGTTAGATTTGAACCTTTTAGAGACATTGCAGACTAAACCGATATTTCTTGGAAGCAAAGCTAAGAAATGCCTGGAGAGAGCTGTTTGGAACGACACATCCTTTTTAGCGGTAAGTAAGCTACTTGAACTTTCGATATCTTTGAATCAATGTTTCAGAAATTACGTGAAAACAATATGTGGATTCAGATAATATATAGCTTTCTATTCTTGGTTGCAATTTTCGATAAATTATGAAATGATTGCCCAGTTGGTCTTTTAACCAGCTTGGTTGGCGTGAGTGGCCGTGCACTCTTGTTCCTTAAAAGAGGTCGGGAGTTTGAATCCCCTCTGGTATGGAAAAACCAATCTGGTCAGCACTTTGCCCCTTAATTGGGCCGGGCCGGTGCGAATGGGGATTAGTCTGAGTATGGTACGGGCTTAAAAGTGCCTCCTACAGTTAGGGCCTGCTCAGGACACCTCGTGGTCTGACAAAAACTTCTTGTTGAAATTCCATTTGGTGCATGAACTGATACTATGGCGCCTTACGATTTCCAGTCGGTTGATGTGATGGACTATTCGTTGTTGGTTGGGGTGGACGAAGAGCGGAAAGAGCTCGTGTTAGGGATCATCGATTTCATGAGACAATATACTTGGGACAAGCACTTGGAGACGTGGGTAAAGGCGTCGGGCATACTTGGGGGCCCGAAGAATGCATCTCCGACCGTCGTTTCTCCAAAACAGTACAAGAAAAGATTCAGAAAAGCAATGACAACATATTTTCTTACAGTACCTGATCAATGGTCATCCTGAGAAAAGGGATTCCATTTGGTCTCTCTCATTCCATTCTTGAAGCTTCTGGTGGTAATAAGGGCAAAACTCAAATTTCTATTGCACAGGAGAGAAGAAGGTTTTGTTTTGTTTTGTTTTCTTTCCAATTGGTTCATTTTTAGTTCTTTGTAATGGCTAATGGGGGCAACAAATGCCCCTTTTGTACAATTGTACATTGTAAAACATTCATCAAAGCATCATCTTCTTGAAAAACCCCTTTTTTGATTTTTACTTGTTTCTTTAATCTTTATAAGGCTAATAGACACTTTGATTTATGAGAAAGTTTGCCGTTGCTATCTGAATATGCCCTCTGAGTCAAGAGGTGTGTAAACCAGAAGTTACTTATAGTTGATCAGCTCAAATCAAAAAGATCAATAGACAGTTTTGTGGTTACTAAATCAACGGTTCGACCAACTTGACTAGAGTTGTCTCGGCTAATAAACACTATACCTCATACTACTTGGTAGGCATTAAACTCTTTATACTCATCATGCCTATAACTGGATGATGGATCTAGTAAATATTTTCACTAAAAAATTACGGAGTATTTCTTAATAAATATTATACAACTTGTGACAATAACCTTGTGATCTGATGACATTATTATTACTATTTTAAAATAAGAAAATTTCTTTTAAAACTTACATTTATAATTAGGATAGCGTGACACATGCATGCATATATTATTATAGATTCCTTGCTCCGCCTTGGGCAGCCGTGACTTCAGCCGCACGCCACCACCTCCGATCTGCAAGTAAAATCCAAATTTTAATCTAATTTAAGTATGATTAGCATGCAAATGAACAGTATTTAAGAATATTACCCTCTTCAGAGTTTCATAGAATTCTTTCTCCGAATATTCCTTACTGAACTAGTGAGCTAAACTCGTACCGTGATGGAGACTCTTCTTTCCACCATCCACTACTGGCTGGTGGACCACCCGGCCATCAGCCAATACGAGTGGAAAGAAGGGGAGACATTAGGCGCCTCGCCGCTCTTTGCCGCCGTCACGGCCATCTCCTACCTCTCCGTCACTCTCTTCCTCCACCGCTTCGCCGTCCTGCCGGCCCTCTCCTCCGCCGCCCTCCGCCGCGCAGCCGCCGTGCACAGCATGATCCTCTGCCTCCTCTCCCTCTCCATGGCCGTGGGCGGCACCCTCGCCACCCTCCGCCAAATGCCGGCCATTCACGGCTGGAGATGGGTGGTCTGCTTCCCGGCGGCCGCCACGCTGCCACGTGGACCCGTGTTTTTCTGGGCCCACGTTTCGTATTTCTCCAAGATTCTGGAATTTGTAGATACCCTTTTGATCCTCCTCAGTGGGTCCCGCTCCCGCCGCCTCTCTTTCCTCCACGTGTTCCACCACGGCGGCGTGGTGGTTGTCTGCTACATCGCGTTATCGACGGCGCAGACACTGATTCCGGTAGCGCTGGTTACCAACGCCGCCGTTCACGTGCTAATGTACGCCTATTACTTCCTCTCCGCGCTGGGTCACCGGCCACGGTGGAAGAAATTGGTCACCAACTGTCAGATTATCCAATTCGTCTTCGGTTTCATGATTTCGGGTTTGATGCTGTATTATCATCTTACCGGGTCGGGTTGCTCAGGAATATGGGCTTGGACTTTCAACATTGTTTTTGTTGCTCTCCTTCTAACAATGTTCTTGGACTTTCACTCTAGTAATTATTCTTCCAAGAAAAGGAAAGATCACGACAACTAAAATAAAATAAAATAAACGGCAGAGATTTCGTGGCATCATATCTTTGAATTGTTACTCTTCCAAGTTCGAGTTTTCATTTCATTTCTTTCTTAAATGTATTGAGTTTAATATCTACTCATAAAGTCCAATTTTATCTGTCTTACTTATTATTCATGAGTCAAGCCAATTATTTCTCCTTTGCTTATTTCTATTAGCATTTTCTTATAATTTTTAAATTTGATTTTTTTGTGTGTGTTTAATAGTACTTTTAATGCACTTTTGCGTATGGAAGTACAAAACGGGAGGGAAGAAAGTAGTAGTATTATTGCTTGGGACGCTAGGCCCAAAATGACATGTACAAAGTCCGAGATACTGGCCTAAAAGGGCAGTCTAAAAAATAAATAAATAATACAAGTTATAACCGCGATTAGGGACTAGAAATAATAACAATGGAATCAAACCGTGGTGTATGTGTTAAAGAGAGGCAATGTGCCTTATATAGTGTTGAAGACCTTCCGAATGGTTGACAAATGTACGACATTAGCTAGTATTCATTCTTGGATACATACACATGCATGTTCAACCCCCCCCCCCCCCCCCCCCCCCCCCCACTGCTACTTTGCTTCCAGCGCACTTCTCATGCATAAGTAAGACTTCTTGCTCTCCAATACATAAAATAAGTAGTGACTTGGTGGATTAGGATGTGTGTTGTCTTGTGGAGGTTACAAGTTTGAATCTTGCTAGTTACCATTCTTCAACTTAACATTTTATTCCTTTCTTTTGGGCCACAAAATGGACACCCCATTGGACTAAGATTTATTCATCAATAAAATGGACCATGCATGGTCCCATGGCCCCATCACTAGTAAAGGACTACATGAAGTAAAACTAGCCTAGGTCACCTATAGTTGACCAATTCAAACCAAGAAGTTAATATATACTTTTCATGAAGAGTCGAATAGGAAATCTTGTGGTTACCAAATTAACAGTTCGACCAACTTCACTTGGATTGTCCCGGTTAATGGACACTGTACCTTATATTATTGGTTCTTTATATGTACTCTTCATGCCTACTTACTAGATGATGGATCTAGTAAATATTTTCACTAAAGATGATGGATCTAGTAAATATTTTCACTAAAAAGTATCTTTGTTGTTAAAATGCCTAGAGTCCATAATAGGAGATCATTTTATATTTTAACAGGCTGACTGCATACTTTATGAAGGCCATTTTACAATATTAGGAGGGATAAAAGATCAAATTTATTAGAATATCAAAAATTTTATAAGATGAAAATGATCTTCAATATTTAAATTCACGTACTAGATAGAAAAAACTAAAAGTTTAAAAGATAACAATTTGCAACATTTAACAAATGATTTGTCAACCATATTTACTAATTATAAAAGAGTGACTAGGTTTCATACTCCCATATACTTTTCCCAACTTGGACATAGTCACATAATATAATTACTGATGTTCTTTGAATTGACACCCAAAATGTGAGAGATCTATTTGTACAAAAGATAGGAATTCGGGAATTTTATCACTCTTGAAATCTCTTTAAAAATTTCTTCCCGAAGACGAAAGATCATAGTAAATTACTTAATATTACTAGCACTAAATAATGAATTTAGATATGTAATTGATGAATATCATGAGTGCATACTTATAGTTAAATGGACGCTAATATATATATATATATTTTTTATTATAAGGAAGGGGGATACCCTACACATACACACTATTGCCTCAATTGAGGTTCGAACCTTACACCTCCCACTTAGGAGAGCAATCCGATACCAATGGACTACAAGCCACTTGGTATGGATGCTAATATTTATTATTCAATATAAACTTTCAGACTATGTGTTAAATAATTCATAAATAGTAAACTTTTTAAGAAAACATTTGTCACGTTCGAATCACAAAATATATTTTATCTCAATTAATTAATCAATTTAAATAATTATATTACCACACATAACATATTATAAAACTCATAAATTAACAAACATTAGAAATATAAGTAGTAACGCATAACACATAATAAATCTCTCAAATTAACACACATTATAAATATAAGTAGTAAATTACTCAATTAAGAATAAATTTCAAATTTTGATATGAATTCAAATCAATCTAAATTATACATCTCACAATTGATGTAAAAAAAAAAAAAGACAAAATATTTTACAAAGTCACAAGTCAAAAATCATAAAGTAAAAATTAAAATTGAAGTACATTTTATAAATATATTTTCCGTCCAACTTTATATGATAAAAAAAAAATTAAATTTAAGGTACATTTTATCAATACATTAAAGAAAGAAATGAAATGAAATGAAAATTCAAACTTGGAAGAGTAACAATTCAAAGATATGATGCCACGAAATCTGGGCCGTTCATTTTATTTAGTTGTCGTGATCTTTCCTTTTCTTGGAAGAATAATTAGTAGAGTGAAAGTCCAAGAACATTGTTAGAAGGAGAGCAACAAAAACAATGTTGAAGAACCAAGCCCATATTCCTGAGCAACCCGACCCGGTAGTAAAATGATAATACAGCATCAAACCCGACATCATGAGTCCAAAGACGAATTGGATAATCTGACAGTCGGTGACCAATTTCTTCCACCGTGGCCGGTGACCCAGCGCGGAGAGGAAGTAATAGGCGTACATTAGCACGTGAACGGCGGCGTTGGTAACCACCCCCAACGGCAGCAGTGACTGCGCCGTCGCTAACATGTTGTAGCTGGCAACCAGCACGGCGGCGTGGTGGAAGACGTGGAGGAAAGAGAGGCGGCGGGAGCGGGACCCACTGAGGAGGATCAAAAGGGTATCTATAAATTCCAGAATCTTGGATAAATAGAAAACGTAGGCCCAGAAAAACACGGGTCCACGTGGCACCGTGGCGGCCGCCGGGAAGCAGACCACCCATCTCCAGCCGCCGTGACTGGGCGGCATTTGGTGGAGCGTGGCGAGGGAGCAGCCCACGGCCATGGCGAGGGAGAGGAGGCAGAGGACCATGCTGTGCGCGGCGGACGCGTGGCGGAGGGCGGAGGAGGAGAGGTCCGGCAGGACGGCGAAGCGGTGGAGGAAAAGAGTGACAGAGAGGTAGGAGACGACGGTGACGGCAACGAAAAGCGGTGAGGATCCAAATGTCTGGCCTTCTTTCCACTCGTACTGGTTAATGGTCGGGTGATCCACCAGCCAGTAATGAACAGTGGAAAGAAAAGTCTCCATAACGGCCCGAGTTTAGTTTAGTGGTTCAGTAAGCAAGATTTAAATAAGAAGAAAATAAGCTTTGAATTTTGATATGCAACTCCCAAGAGGTTAATGTTCTTAAATACTTTTCATTTGCATGCTAATTAAGCATACTTAGATTATGATTAACGCAGATCGGAGGTGGTGGCGTGCGGCTGAAGTCACGGCTGCCCACGGCGAAGCAAAGTGTGTATGTATATATATCGTGCCATTCTGCATGGCTAATAGCCTAATAATAATGTCGTATTAAACAAGTTGTCTATCTTGCATGTATATATAAAATTATGGGTTTTCACATTTTTGCATATGAGAGTCTACTCTTGTTTACATGGCCAAATGGAAGTTAATAATATATGCATGCATGTGTCACGCTAACCTAATTATAAAAGTAGAAACTATTAAGGTAAGTTAACTAATTTATAAGATTTCTCCAAGGAGATACTTGATTTGCAAATTGATCGAGTTAATATACTTGATTTTTTTTTAAGTCTTTTATTATAAACTATTCTTGGTCTGTAAACCTAAGAACCAAACACACCTTAAGTTGTATTAGGGAGGGAATTTGGTTTTACAACCAACATCTGATTACAAAGGTAGGAAATTAAAGTTGATTACTTTGATTACTTTTGTGGTGAAAAAGGATAGTATTATATTATTGCCCTAAGAAGAATGGTTAAAATGTTAACCCCAATCAAAATGGCAAGAGATCCGATCCACACTTATAACTACAAGGTCACAAGTTTGAATTATTTTTCCCTCGATTTGAGCCAGTCAACTATGAGTGATCTAGGTTGGTTTACTTCTTTGTTGGCTAGAGTTACGTTATAACTTACAAGGTCATGTTTACCTACATCTAAAGGGTTGTGGGGTTTCTCTCGTCAAAAAAAAAAAAAAAAAAAAAAAAAAAGAATATTTTGAAGATAGCATATGTATTATGTAGATGTTGATGAAAATGTAAGGGACACTTAATTAATTAACCTGCTATTGATATTATAGGGGTTAGGGCACAATTTAAGCAAGATGGTTGCAAATGGACAATTTATAGGTCATGACCTAATAATTCCCATTGTCCATTTACAATTAAAACCTACAACGATATATATGATCATACTTGGGGAGATCAATATGATGAAAAATAAAACTATTAATGTGATGGCTTTTTGTGTTTTAATTGGTTGAGAAAGTAGTTAATATAATAGAGTTAGTATTTTTTGTTTTCATAATTAAGTGTCATTTGTTGTGATTTTAAAACCGATATATTATTATTTTATAATTACATTATTATATTTGTATAATTATCAATTAATTATATTTTTTTAAAAAAATTTTATATTCAAATGCGTATTGCAATCACAAATAAACTCTACATACACTTTTAATTTTAAAAAAATAAATTAATTATAACTAATATTTATCAAATAATAACATTCAATAGTATGGAATAATATTTGAGCATAGTAGCTAGGCTACATGTTAAATTTAACAATTCTCGATCATCTTTCAACTTCTAGCACACTCTAGCTTTTCAAATAAATTTATCGATTTTCTCTATATAAATATTTTTGTGTGATCTCATAATTCTATTATATATAAATTAAATTAAATTATAATTAATTTCATATTTTGTCCTAGATTTACGTACAAGTTGTAGATCATTTTTAGTCATTTTTTTTAGAACATCCCCATTTGGTCCTAGTATTATTATGCCATAATCATTTTTGGCCTTTTGTCAACAAAATCGTTGAAATGACATTAAATACAATATCATTTTGACCCATTTTTTTTTTTATTTTTACTTTTGTGAAAAATCACCGTTTGAAGATCAAAATGTCATTGTATTTAAGGGAATTTAAACAATTTTGTTGATAAACGACAACAAATTATACGTCATGCCACAATAATATTAGGACTAAAGAGACGTTCTGGAAAAAAAAAAGTGAAATGACACCTATAAATTTAGGACAAAAAATAGAATTAACTCATTAAATTATTAACATAAAAACTTATATTTAAGATATCTAAGGAGAGGAGCTAGGCTTCTGCTTCTTGCTGGATCTCCCTGAAACCTACCCGCTTCTGCAAATAAGAAAGCCAACAATGATAATACAATACACTATTAGATACATGCACAAATCAGGCTAGCTATATGTATATGTGTATATAGGATTTGGATCAAATAAAAATACTAGCTACTGTACTGTATGAGATAATTAGGAGTCACTTAGAGTCATCGATTTGGAAAGGCTTAACAACTTTAAAGTAAGGAGAAGCGAAAAAAAAATACACTGATAATTTTATAAAAAAAAACATGACTTTTAAAATGCAATTAATAACACTATGGAGTGCAACAGATAAGACCATAGACTACATCTGTCATATGTATAAGTAGTGCAGTGAACATATACCTATGGAGCTTTAATTTGATTATTTGCACTCTATTGTGTTGATAATTGCAAGTTATAGTGTTGAGTTTCAATTATTTACAAAAATGTCTCCAAAATTTTATACAATCTGACATGACAATAAAATTCTTTTTATACATACATTTGTTACCATGAATTGTCTAACATTGCTTGGTTAAAAAAAAAAAAAAAAAAAAAAAACAACAACAACAACAAAAAGAATCTACTTATTTATTTTATACGAATCATATATTATCACAAAATCGGAAGGACCAGTCCAAGAAGAACGCTTTGAAAGTAGAACCGTGTTTTGAATTTTGTAAACAAATGAGAAGAAAAATAGGGGAGAGAAAATTAAATTATATCAAAGATTTTGAACGATTTTGTCATAGTCATGCTCAATTAATTAGGAGAGAAAAGTAAAAATTAAATTGCAACATTGATAATCAAAGAAATTTGAAAGAAAGTTATAAAATTAATGAAGGAAGAATCTTGTCTTTTTTAATGATAGTGCGTGATTTGGAGAAAGATTTCCCTCTTCATCGAAAATCAGGCCTGAATTTATAGGGAAGATTTAAAATAAAAAATAAAAATAGCAGAAAAAGAAATATTTGTACCTGACTGGATTTGAGATCTTTCTTGATTATTCCGGGAATCGGAGCCGTAGGTCTGGATCGAGTTGACTTGTTTAGCACGGCAGCATTATTATTACCCATGCAAAGTCGCATGATCTTCTCGGCAACCTCGCCGCCGCCGCCATCCTTACTTTGCTTTATCAACTTCTCTACCTCCGCCTTGGGCAGCCGTAACTTGAGCCGCACGCCACCGCCGCCGCTCTCCGGAGACTTCATGAACGAGATGTCCGACACCGACTTGCTACGAGCCAGCATTAGGCTCTCGAGCCGGGCCTCGGCGCTCATATGGATCCCCGACGACCGGACCCGCCTCGGCACCACACGCTCCTCCTGCGGCGGCAGCGGCTCCGCCACTAGAAAGTAGACCCTTTTGGGCTGCAGTTCCTGCTCCGCCGCTAACGGCTTCGCTCGGAACCCAAAATTCTTAACCGCTTCGGAATCTACCAAAATGTGCCCCGGGTTTGCCTTAACCACCTCGCCGGCGTCCACCGGAATCTTGAATTCAGTTGTTTGGCCGTCTACTCTCATCACCTTAGCTACCTTCTTCCCTCCTAGACAATTTCCCATTATTTTTATAATTAATAATTCTCTAATGTATGGGTATATATATATATATATATATATATATATATATATAGGGATGAGAATAGGGTCATTGATAAATAAGTGAGAACTGATCATCGCTGTTCATTATGTTCATCAATGGTGGAGGGTTTTAGTAAAATTATACTAGATTAATTTTACAATTATTGAAATTTTTTGAATTTTTAATAATTATAAAAAGAATCCCACTTTTTTTCCCTTTATATTCTAGAAATCTTCAACCTGTGATTTACCCAAATAGATAGATAAGATTAATTGTCACTTTTTATCATAGAACTTGTTGTCACATTAACCATTCCCTATATATATAAAGGAAAGTACCCAGGTTTTCGCGGGTGAAAGAGCTGGCGTGAAGATTTAAGGCTGTTCTATACTCAAAGTCGTTTTCACCACAGGTGGAATAGCTGACCTGGAGATTTAAGGCTGTTCCATACCCAAATTCGTTTTCACCAGTGGAACACTTGATATGAAGATTTAGGACTATTTCATACCCAAAGTCAATGATCGAACTCTTGACCTTTGATTAATAATGAATGTGGCCCTTCTACTCAATCATATCCCAGATTAACTTATTTTAAGTTAATCAACCAGTTAAATGGTGGCAAATCAAATAAGTTAAAGATACCTGTTATTTTCGTATTAGATATAATGGCAGTCTAAGTATGAGACATCAAAATCTTTTTGTTTGACGAGAATTTCAAAAGATCAAAATTCAAGGAAATTAAAAGCTTTTCGGACAAGGTAGTTGTTGTTAGTTTAATGTTCATTATTATTATGGGGCCAAAGAAAGGTTAGGGAGATCTTGAAAATTGGATCCTCTTTGACAAATATTACAACAAATATGTTTTGGTACCCAAGCTATCATTTTCTTGTAGGTAGAAAACAGTTATATTTTAATTTGCTGTGTATTTGCATGGGAAGCCATGTTCTCAGTCCATGCACCTTTGTACAAATATGACTTTTGGACTTGCAGTCTTGCTCATGGTGTAAAGTTACTTTGAACTATTGGATTGAGTCTAAGAAACTTTATTAAATGAAAGTGACCTTTGACCGTGCATGTTACATGTCTCAATGATAATTAAAGTGGGATTTACATCCCTAACTCCAAGTACCCCACGTCTCGATCCGATAGAGTATCTAGGAGGATGTAAATCATGGTAACTCAGCTGAACACAGAGACTAGACTTTTGCTTATTGCGCACAAGGAGTCTTCTTCACTTTAGGAGGTTGCTCTCACACTATCGTTGATGAAGCTTGATCTCAGATCATTGTTCTCGAATTTTACCTCTGTGATCAACTGAGTTGTCCATGCGGACAAGTGAGATACATATTGCAATCAAGCTAGGGAGGTATTTGGAGCATGCAATGACTTGTTCAACACATGTGCCTCATTGAGAATTTAAAGTAATATTTACATATTAATTACCATCAAGCTAAGGAAGCTATTGGATCAATGGCTTTTAATTTCTTCAAGTTTGGAGATAGAGTTCCTCTCTGATTAATTAAGGGGCTTGTCTCGAAAAGGATAACTAAGTGGGCAGATCATGATTTTTTTATCTGAATGTCACGAGTTCAATTCTTGTCATCAACACTTTTTTTGTCAAGTCTGTCTCACAAAGTCTTCTTAGTATAATTTACCTCTTTATGTGATTTGCGGGCTATAACTATTGTGTATAGAAGATAGAGATGTCAATCGAATTTGTGTCAATCCTTTTGGCCCTATACCTAAAACCTCATGCTATTAGGTTTATTTGATAGGCTCAATGAAAATTTGTTTGTTAGATTTTAAAATTAACATTCTAAACTTTTAATTTTAAAAAATCTGCACATTGTACATTAATAAATATAAATGTAAACATCATTTAATGGATCTAAATTTCTATTTTTCAAACTCCAACTCAAAAACATAATGCAAGCATGTAACAATTAATTTAAAATATAATACATGTAATTAAAATAAAAACAAGAGAATCAATGACATGTAATTTTTTTTTTTTAAAAATAGTTATGTTTATAATGACACCACATATTTACTAATTTAATTTTAAAAATAAATAAATAAATCAGGCTAACGGGTCAGCCAGATCAGGCCAACCCAACTAGCTCGGTCAGGCTAGGCCAATTAGCCTGACTTCTTATCGGACTAATTTTTTTACCCTAATTCTATAATCCTTCGATCTTTTTCACGCTAACTCATCGAGTTCGGACTAAGATTTACTTTTCTAATAAAATATTATAATATTAAAAAATCAAAGAAATTATTTAAAATATAAATTGAATCTAAATTATTTTAAATAAAAGATTATATTTATAAACATAAATCAACCTTAATTTGTAGCTAGACATCTTCTTTGAATTGGTTCTAGTGTGAACCTAGGAATTCACATGGAGATTCCTTCCACCCATCGACATGCATGTTATATTCTTTCTTACTTACGAACCAGCTGCATGAAATAAATGAATTGGAATTTTTTTTTCAACTATTTTTAGATTGGTATGGTCTACCTGTCTCCATGATGGAAAGCGTTTGCCATGTTAAGTCTATCCATAAATAAATCTCAAATGGGGTAATCAAGCAGTAAAGTATGATTCTCATATCAAAAAGTGATTATCCATTGATGTTGGGAATAACTATATGTTGTGCTGACTAGTCACTAGTGGCCCTGTTCGGCACGTCTAGTTGAAAAGTTAGTTGAAACGTGAAAGTTGAAAAGTTAATAGCTAATAAACTAACAAATTGAAATTAGTCAAAGACCTTATAGTTAAGCGACATGAAATGACTCTTTTAAATAGGAGGTCATGGGTTCAAGCCTCACGAACGTTTGTGTGACGGGTTGAGTTAAGATGAAATGTAATACTTTTAAATTTTGATGTAAAATAATTACATTTTCCTTTATATATAATTGCAACATTACTTACAAATTAAGAAATATAACATTTTTTATGAAAAAAGTAATACTTTTACATTATTTAAAAAAAATGTAATATTTTTACATCAAAATATAAAAGTATTACATTTGTCCTCAAGAGTATATTTTTCCTTATAAGTAACAAATATTTTATTCATAATTTAGTATTACATTTGCATATTGATTCGACTGATCCAATCCAACCCGTCTCACACAAGTGTGACCCTTAGAATTTTGATTATGAAGGATAGATGATGCCATTCTTAATAAAAAAATAATAATAAAAAAGTAAAAAGGTCATGAATTTATTTTAAAACACTACTTTAAAATAAAAACAAACTATTATTTTAAGCTTCTCATATTTCACCAAACAGAACTTATAGCTTATTTGTACCTTAAAAATAAGTTATAAGCTATAAAATAAGTTCTACCATACAGACTCCAATTCTTTTAAGTTGGGTGATGGTCAAAATTTGCTTTGCTTAATTTTTTTTATGGTAATAATAATAATAATAATAATAATAATAATAATAATAATAATAATAATAATAATAATAACCTAGAAAATATCATATAATTAACACTCCATAATTAAAACTTATTTTCATTTATTTTTTTCAATATCTAAATAAAACGTATGTATTTATTTTATAAATAATAATTATGTGATTAATGCATTTTTTTATAAATTAATATACATATTTTTATGTCTTATACATCTTAACAGCTAATCATAAATACCTAATTTTACTAAACATCTCTCTACAAATTGCCAGTCAAAACCATAATTGTTTATGGTTAAATAAGTCCACTATGTTATATTGTTGTTGCATCGTTAATAAGTTATGAACACAAATTGCCAGTCAAAACCATAATCGTTCATGGTTAAAAAATGATAAATTATAAATATTGACGTAACGATATTTCAAACGTGGTAGTTACTTCCATGTTACTAATGCATCAATTATTTTCTACTGCATAACAAAGTTAGCATATGTCTTCAAATAATTAAAGGTATCACATTTATTATTATGAATAGAAAGAAAATGTGACCTTTTTATAAATAAAATGACTGTATTTAACGAAAAATATTACCAACTCTTTTTATTTATAAATAGAAACAATGTTTTTTTAATATTGATTTTTTTTTTGTGTGATGAAAAAAATCTGTAATCACTATCTGAGGGTATGCATTGGATAAATCTTACGTTGTAACCCTAGCTGACAAATGATTACCATGAGTATTTTTTGAAAATCGCTTACAATGAATTAAACTAACTTAAGTTGTCTATAATTGACCAATTCAATCAAGAAGTTTAATAAATCACTTTATCTAAAAATTGAACTTGTAACTCTATAGTTATCAAGTGAAATTGTAAAATTTTTCGTGTGATAATTTTAATTTTCTATAAACTATTATTGCACCTAATTCGTTGAAAATTTTCATAGCTTAGCTTAGTGAATTTCAAAGATTGGAACATGATGATGCGTGGGATCCCATGTGCTCTTCCCATAGTTTGAGGACCACCCTCCTCTCCCATCAAGTTTCATAAGAGTTAAAATAGGCATAAATATATTTACTCCCTCCATCTCATTATCTCATTTTATATGTTTAATTTGGTTACGATATTTAACTAAAATTATTATTTATTTATTTTTTTTATAATATTAAATTTAGTATTAGCATATAAATATTTATTTATTTAGAAATTAATTAAAATTACTATTAAATACAAATAATAAAATTTAAAAATAATTAACATTTTTACTAAAGAAAATAAGTAAAGAAAAAAGAATTGATTTGACAAAAAATAGTAAACAAGAAAAATAAAATGAGGCATAAAGAGTATAAAATAATTTTTAAAAATGGTTATATTACTTAAAAATGGGGGGTATTTGACTGAAATGGAAAGGTTTCGGGTGGGGTGTGCATTTCGAGATTCGGTTTAGTTTTATTATTATTATTATTTTCAATTTGCCCATTTCAATATTAAAAAAAAATGATACCATTCGGTTTCACATTATAGTTGTGTTCGGTTTCGATTCAGTTTCAAAAAATTCGGTTTCAGTTTGGTATTAGTTCGGTTCAATTCGGTTTAAGAACCCATATTTTAAACATTTTTTAATTTTCCAAACACACTACCAAACAATACATATTCACATAGTCCAAATCCAAAGTCTAAACATTATATAACAAAATAGCAATACAAAGTACTAAGTGGCTTGTGGTTTACTGGTATCTGGTTGCTCTATTATGTGGGAGGTTTAAGGTTTGAGCCTCGATATAGGTGAAAAATGTATATGTCGGTGTCCCCTTTCTTTTGTACTAATTACCAAAGATCAGTATTTGGAGAACAAGTGCTAAATACTGTATAGTTAATTTTTGGACAAAATCCTTCATTGTTTGACAATTTAAATTCATTACAATATAGTAGCAATTAATTTTAATTATGCATCATTGTATTTAAATTAATTTTGAAATATATAAAATTGATATAATTAAAATAAAAAGTACTTATAAATATCATATTAATAGACTCGATATTCTATTTATTTCAATCATTTAATATATTTTATCATATTTTAGTTTTTTTTTTTTAAATCTTTTTTAACCCAATTAATAATATCCGGCCTGGACTCTGGATATGCCCTTTGTTTACGATTTTTCTTTCTGTTCAAGCAGCAGCAGAAGAACGGTAATTTAAAGCCACATATATATGTATCATAGTTTCGGGTCACGCACAGTTTTTCGCAGTCTTTATTAAACTCGCATTTCCCTTTGGTCTCATTAAAACACCTTGCGGATATACCTATCATCAAAGCATAATACAATATAAAATAATAAATATTTCAGATTTTATCGACTTATATCCTGAACCTCAGTCTGAGATTCTCACAAACCGACTAGGGATGGCAACGCAGAAAGACGGGGAGTAAACTCTCCGTTCCCGTCCCCGATTCTCCAACCCCATCCCCGTCCCCATCCCCGGCACGGAATTGAAAATAGTCTCCAATCTCCATTTCCGCGGAAAATTAAGTGGGGACGGGGATTCCTGGTCCCCGATCAATTCTTAGTCAAAATCGTATAATTTTTAATTTAAAAAATTAAAAACCAAAATTTTAATTTAAAAATTTAATATATATATATATATATATATATATATATATATATATATATATATATATATATATATATATATATATTATTTATTATAATAATTATTCAAGGACGTGGCAGGGTGTAGAGGGGTATCCCCATCCCTGTCCCTATTCCACGAAATTTTTTCCCATCATTGTCTCAGTCGGGGAGGAAATCGGAGATTCCCGTCGGGGACAGGGCAAATTGACATCCCTAAAATAGTCAATTTAGTTTTGAGACTCAATATGAGATTATACATTGTTCACAATTAAGGAACCCATCCCAACCCAAAAGTCCTAATGTTCATGGCAAGAATAGAAATTTTAATTAAGACATGACACATCTTTTAATTTAACATCACAAAAGTCATTAATTCACATATTAAAAAAATTCAAAAAAAAAAAAGTATTACCAGTAAATGAAAGGAGCAACAAGAGGGATATAGTGATGAATAAATTGAATGATTGTGCCATTAGTCAAAAGTGTATATTAGTGTACATGAAAACCTCAAGCTAAGTAGCACTATATATAGGGTATGTTTATTGGTTTTGTTATGTGTACGTATTTTATTTCTCTTACCTTTACAACTAAAATACCTTAAACATGTCCCAAGCATGTAACAAGCATGATACCGAAATTGCTCGTATTTGGTTATTTTTGTTTCACATTATAAAAAATTATAAAATATGCCCATAGCTTTATAAGAATGAAGTTGTATTAGTCTTTTATAAAATCAAAATTTAAGAGTGTTTTTTTTTAAGCGTAGTCATTTTTTTTAAAATTGAACACATGAAAAACTAAAAAATTGACCTTCATTATTTCAATTGGAACATGTGCAATGACTTCCCACATTTTATCGTGTAAGACAAATAAGTATGTCTGCATACGGATGTACCCGTCATCAAATTCATCTTATAAAAACAACCTGAGCTAGAGTCATATATGTCTTCATTTTAAATATGGTTTTGAAAAATATGAGATCTACTAGTAGCCAAGATAAGTGTAAGAAATGTTAAATGAATTCTACCAGATAAGGTCATTCAATGAAATTCGAGTTTAAAATCACCAATGAGGGGAAAAACAAAGATAAAAACAGTACATAGATAAGAAGCTCAGGAACATTTTATATTCATAATCAGAAGTTCAGCCATGAGAATCTGTAAATAGTCAATTAAATATGTGGACTCACACATAGTTCGAGGAAAAAAAAAAGAAAGTGTTACATTAATCTCTAAAACTTATATTACAAGAATATATAAATCTCAACTGTTACATAATGCATTGCCATTTTGTCATGATAGAAACCGGCTCAACAATGAATTACAAAACCAAGTATTTAGCACATTAAAAGAACAAGTCCCTTAGGATTACGGTTCAACCTTTTGAAAAGAAAAGAACAAGTTAAGAGCTATCCATATTAAATATCCTATAATACGGACTTGAAGCCTCAATGAAGGTGCATGTATTTACAATTTAAATTCATTACAGTGTAGTAGCAACTTCAATTATGCATCATCATATTTAAATTAAGGAAAACGTATAAATAAGCCATTGAACTATTTGAAGAATATTAGCAATAATTAAGTCATTGAACTCGAATAAACTCCAAATTCATCTATGAATCCGGAAAAAAAAAAAAAAAAAAAAAAAAAAAAAGAGCAATTACCATTTTTAGCAAG